AGATGCAGGTCTGTTGGTGAAGCAGTAGGGACTGTGTTGACAGCTCTCACAAAGCATAGGGTTGTTTATCCCGGGACAGAGAACATCGTAAATTTATGTGGCTCCCACATGCATGCTCTACCTCTCAAGTCTTGTCTGCTGTGCAAGGGGCACCTGCAAAGCCAGTGCCTGGATCCTTTGGTTCCTGGCTCTTGGGTCTCGCTGTACTGCAACTCTGAGCAGGGCTGAGTCTTTATTCACCCCCACCGCACCCCAGCACCTGCTATGGAAGAACTTCTTGACCGAGGACGAGTCAGGAAGTGGTATTTCCACCAGAGATCAAGGTTGCACAGGGCTTGTTTGCCTGGCTGAAATGTGGGATCCCAGTGAATATGGCCTCTGCATCCTACCAGCATGGACACAGGAGATATTTTTCAGCTGTTTGCCTGTGGGTTCCGCTTACCTCCTCTCAGTATTCCCTTTGACTGTTGCAGTTACGGGAATATAGTCAAACCTCAAACACCCCCAGCCTTAGTCGAGCTCTGCTTCGGCAAAGGTATGGCCAGCGACAGCTGTGAAGGGATCTCCTGTTGTACACAGCTGACTCCAGCAATGCTCCCGCCCATTTTCCCATGCTGTAGCCAGGCCCATGGCTCCCTCCTTTTGTTTGCAAGTGGGAAAGCTCTTCAGCCCAGCTGTAGGTCTGTCCTGCCTGGGCTGGCTCTGAGTTCTCTCCTCTCCCACAGCGCACTCTGGGACATTGAAACAGGGCAGCAGAAGACTGTGTTCCTGGGTCACACCGGAGACTGTATGAGCTTGGCTGTTTCCCCAGACTTCAAGCTTTTCATCTCTGGGGCTTGCGATGCTACTGCCAAACTGTGGGACGTGCGGGAGGGCTCCTGCCGTCAGACCTTCTCAGGGCATGAGTCCGATATCAACGCCATCTGCGTATGTATGTTGTCTGCACGGTGGTGGTGAGGCAAGGAAAATGGGGGGTGGACCAGCTCTGAAACAGGGTCTTGGGACAAGGTTGAAAGAAGCTGTCACAGTCACATGGGGAATAAGGGTCTCAGGATACCTTGGCCCCATGATCCAGCCTGAAGCAGGGAGGAGGGCCTGAGTTCAAGATCTTTCTGGGCACAGGGCCACCAAAGCATCTAGATTAGACTCAAAGCACTGCTTGGACTCAGCCAGCATGCCATGGTCTGTGGAGCTCAGCATCCTGACAAACACTGGTGCTGGTGCAGCTTTGGTCATAGCAGCTGCTGGGAACCACGGTTCAGGCATGCTGCAGGAGCTCTGGCCCAAAACACAAGTGAGGCAGCAAGAATACCGAACTTAGCTGAGGGTCTTCGTCAGCTCCAGCCAGCAGAGGTGGGAACAGGAGAGGTGGGATCATGGGGAGATCTTCTGAAGGTGAATTCTTCACAGGAGGCAGCACAGACATGTGGGGGCAAGTATCCCCCTCAGAGGCAAGGATTCAAACCAGAGCCCTAGAGGTGGCAGGACAAAGAACACATCAGTCTAATTGCGTGCAGCTAACCAAACGAGTCTGCCAGCGTCCTGCAGTGCCTGCTGCTTGAACTACCCTCCACTGACTTGGATGAGTACAGCTTTTCTCACCTGTCCCATGGCTACCCTGCCAGCTCTCTGCCGCACCTGCTCCTGAAGAGCTCTTTTCTGCTCCTCCGAGCGAGGACACAGAAAAGGAGAGTGTGTGAGAAAGCTGGGGTATGAGGATCAGACAGAGGAAGGCTCTCATAGCTCTGAATCATGCCAGACCCCACTGGGGGGATAATGGGTGGACACTTGTCAAGCACCAAACTAACAGCTGGAGTTAGAGACAATAATCTTTCCTCAGGCACTGGGACGTCTTGCAATAGCTCTAGACCCTAGGTCATTGGCTATCTTGAGGTGGAAGGGGTATACTAGGTCTTAGCAGAAGCCTCAGTCCCCCCTTTCAGCAGACTCAACTTTCATGATCCAGTGTCTTGCCCTGCTGTGTTTTCCTACCTTCGTGGCTTCCTGGTGGATAGCAGGGAGGCCAAGAGTTGAGGAAATCTGTAAGGCACAACCTGATTAAAATCTGTTGTGTGCCCTCCTCAGTTCTTCCCTAATGGTGAAGCCATCTGCACTGGCTCAGATGATGCCACCTGCCGTCTCTTTGACCTCCGGGCAGACCAGGAGCTCATAGTGTACTCTCATGAGAGCATCATCTGCGGTATCACGTCGGTCGCCTTCTCCCGCAGTGGGCGCCTCTTGCTTGCTGGATATGATGACTTCAACTGCAACATCTGGGACTCCCTGAAAGCAGAGCGTGTGGGTGAGTGGCTCTTGGAGGTCTCTCTTTCGTTCCCTGCAAGGTCTTCTGTCCCTGACAAGACAAGGAAAAGGCCCTTGTCTTTTCTAAAAGCAACACAGCCTACACTGACTGAAACCCAACAAAGCTTCCTCACACTTAAGGAGCACACCATAACTAGTACAACTCCCTTTTGTGTAGAACTATTGTTTTCAGTGTTAAGGAAGTCAAGCCTTTAAACAGCATTGTTTCAAGGGAGGAAAGAGCTTTAAGGTTCCTATTAGCTAAAACTGCTCACAAGCACCAGCAGTGTTTCCTACTTTCTCCTAGCTTCTGCTGTTTGCCAGTTTCAGCTATTCACAGTGCCACTTGGTGGCCAGGTGCTAAGCAGAGCATGGACCCGGGCTTCTATCCAATGTCTTTGGATACTCTGTGACGCTCCTACACAGAATACACCCCAGTGCCATATTTTTTTCAGCTGTGGCCCCTAGCCTCCGAAAGTTTGTAACACAGCCCACCAATGGCATTGCTATTTCTCAGTCTTACTGAGGTCACCATCCCTTCTCAGTCCTTACATTGCTCCAGGGTGAAAGCAGTTGTATGAGGATTCAGCTAGTCAGACCTTCCCAAGAGCTTTGGCCAGTCCCAGGGGGTGGTGGTTGTATGCCACACACAAATGTTCTTCTGCATGTTCTTATTAGCGGCATACTGCTTGCAACACGTTGTGCAGGAACGGACAGCGCGATAGAGGGGTGCAGGTACACAGCCTACGATGCGTGTCCTCAGCATGGTCAACCCCTTCATCTCTCCCAGGCCCCACTCCTTCTACCTGAACTCTCTTCTTTCCCTCCATAGGAATCCTTTCTGGCCATGACAACAGAGTGAGCTGCCTGGGGGTGACAGCAGACGGCATGGCCGTTGCCACCGGCTCCTGGGACAGCTTCCTCAAGATTTGGAACTGAGGACAGCAGAGAGAGGGGAAGAGCAGACGCAGAGAGCACAGGAAAAACACCTACCTACCACTCCCGCTTGTCTCTAGACACAGGTCACTTGTAGGGGTCTCCCAGAGTGAAAGAAGAGGTCAGGGAGGGGGAGTAGGGGAAGCTGGGGAGCAGGAGCACACATACCGGCCCTTGTCTCCACCTCTAAACAGGCCCAGCATTTTCCAGCATTGTGCAGGCTTGAAGACCTGCAAAACACTGTTCATTATGTCTCAGGACTTTACAGGACAGTTCAGACACCCTGCATCTTCCTTCCAACACCTCTACCCACATTGACACCCACCCTTCACTGGACCCTTCATCCAACACCTCTGTCCCAGACTAAGCTCTGTCCCTGATTTAACTCCATCTAGCATCTCTGTGCAGCTGTCCTCTAGCCCTGCAGACAGCCTCAGAGATGTACCGGGTTTGAGATTTCTATCATGCAACCTCAAACAAAAAAGCCACTGTAAATTGGGTTCCTCTTCCACTGGGAAAGACTTAGCTCAAGTCTTACCTACGCATAAATCAGGGAAAGGTAGCCCTCAGACCTGCCAGAATACCAGGGATATTACATTTACTCTTGCTTATTGTCTGCTGCTTGCTGTTCCTTCTTTTTGCCTCACTGTGTGATGACCCTGTCTAACCAGTAGCTATCACCCCATTTTCAAGTCTGTTATAGATCTTCATAGCCCAGGCAAATAAAGAAAGCTCACATAAGCACTGCAAGCTGTGTTCTTTCCAGCATTGCTATGAGCTACTGCAAACATAATTCACCTCCTGTGAGTACTGCCTGCTGACTCCATCCAGAGAACATCTCATCTGCAGGCCTTGCTCTACCTCAGAGTCCCCAGGGAAGGGTGTTCCTCACCTATGTTCTAGCTGAGAAGAATCTGCGAGTCTCAAGGCTTGCTGCCCCAGAAATGGGCTAGATAGCTGAAAATGCATCCTTGCAGACCTTGAGGATTTGAGCTTAGTTACAGAACTCAGACATTATATTCAGCCCCTACTCCGCTCATTGGCCCATAGCAACATTCTAGAGTCCTAAGGCTCTGCTAGAGAGTTGAAGGTCAATAAAGTGTAGCAGCTTATCAACAGGTCAAGATATTAATGCACAATACTCTCTGATCCTATTTTTGGATCTCACCCTCACACCAGACCTTTGCAAGAGGCTACAATCCTTTGTCTACATTAGTTTCAGGCCAGCATAGGTGCAGCAGAACTCCAGAAGTGACACTAGATATGTCAGTCTCCTGCACAGAGCTGCAGCTTCCCAGACCACTCCATAATACGCGGGTTCAAGGTCAGAGCCTTCTCAGCACAGCTCCACGGTGGCACGTTACAGGCAGGGGGCAGATCTGAGTTTTAGGGCTAATGGAAGGCTGAACTGTTTGTTCCTGAATCCTTGTCCCCGGAACAAACATTGCATTAGGCAAGCAGGGGACTCCCACTGTCCTCTCAGGACACAGATACAGTCAGCAAGAGTTTAGATACAAATTTATTTGCTACAGATAAGAACTCTACAGTAAGTCAATACAGCTGATGTACAATAGAAGAGTCAAAGTCCATACTGTACACAAGACATGCAAAGCTAGGAGAGCGAGTGTGCTCTTTCCCCAACAGGGACTGGTGAGAAGAGTGACCACAAGTTTGGAGTTTCAGTCCATTGCAGGATTTCTCACCCCTAGAAGACTCCCAAAACATAGAAGCAAATTACAGCAAGATCCTGGAAAAGGAAACCTCTAGTTCTCCACAAAAGGACGCTGTTGGTTCTCTTTGTTCAAGTCACTCCAAGCACAGTTCCCAGATTTGAGGCTCGTGCTCAGATCCACTATCATCTCCTTCTCTCCAAGGTTCTCTCCCAACACATGCCTCTTACCCTAGAGAAATAAAACACAGACATACAGCGTAAAACAGAAGTTAATTGAGGGTTAGTTAATTCTCAGTGGAACATGTAGCCCATTTTCAGGCCATTCAGCTTGGGCTCTCTTGTGACTATTCAAGAGCAAGGGACTTCTTTCTGCAGCCTAAAGAGAAAGGATGCACTGAAATGGGCAATGTCATGGTAAGGCCAAAGACACAGACACCGAACAAGACTTGGAGGCACCTAGGGACAAGACTGACCCACAGAAAAACACTTACGAAGTCACCAGGCTCTACCGACCTAGGAGGACACAGTTTCAAACTGGGGCCCTACAAAATAAGGAAACTGAAGGATTTGGGGTTTTTTCAGCCCGTTCTCCCTCCCACAGTACAACTCATCAAGCTTTACCTGGCGAGGGGCAGGAGCACTCGGGGAATTGTCATCTTGCAGGATGCTGAGGGGAGAGCGGCCAGTTCCACCAGATGTTGCCAAGATTTTGTTGGTCTTGCGTCTTACGGGTTTGCTCCCTAGTGACAGAAGAAAACACATCTGTGTCACGATAAGGCTAGAGGGTGCTGGATTTTAAATGCCTCCTGACCTCTATGATCTAGCTTGCTTGCCTGCATGGCACAGACTGCTACCCAAGAACTTCCAGGTAAAGGGATCACAGAAAGGCTGAGGTTGGAAGGGACCTCTGGAAGACATCTGGTCCAACCCCCCTGCTTCATCAGGGCCACCTAGAGCCAGCTGCCCAGCACCATGTCCAGATGACTTTTGACTATCTCCAAGAACAGAGACTCCATAACCTCTCCAGGCAACCTGCTCCAGCGCTCAGTCATCCTCACAGCAAAAACAAAGAGCATTTCCTGGTGTTCAGATGGAGCCTCCTGTGTTCCAGTTCACACCCGCTGCCTCTGGGCCTGTCACCGGGCACCACTGACGACAGCCTGGCTCTCCCTTCACATGTTTGTACTCATTACATCTCCGCTCTCGTGACACCCCACCTGGAGTACTGTGTCCAGCTCTGGAGCCCCCAACATGAGAAGGACATGGATGTGTTGGAGCAGGTCCAGAGGAAGCCACCAA